CTTCATGAACAACAATTGTAGTTCGAAAGTACCATTTTTGGAAAACATTATTGTACATTAATTATTGAAAAATTGAAATTGGTAGCCCCGACCCTGTAAATTGAAAATCGTAGTAAAAAACAATTATTGCACAATAACGAAGAACATCTATTCTACTCTACTTCTAAGAACTATTTATAGCATCACATACTAACAATGATAATCTTGACCACCATGAAATAATTAGCTAGGAATTTAAATATGTTCATAGACACCAACCTTTTGGATGATGGATTCACCACAATTTGAGTCTTGCACAAATGTCCAATTGAAAAAGTGCTCTATAGAATGGAGAAAGAACTAGAATGAGAATCAATCAATGTAGCCATCAAAACGAAGATAATTAAGCAATAAAATCAAAGGAGTGAATGTTTATTACTAACCTTAAAGCAAAAAGATCAAGACATTCTTCAAAATCCAAGCGCTAGCTTCATGGTGAAGAGCAGACGTAACAATAGAGGGAAGGACCCAAACGCACGCCTCTGTTCTCGGGATGGAAGAGAGGAGGAAGAAGAGGACGGCTGTAGCCTTTTTATGCTGTAGGCTTTATCACCATCGGTTGTTAGCTAGAACCGACACTGATAGATCAAAATCACTGTCGGCTCTTGACTTAAACCGGCAGTGATGAGTGACCGCCAAAACACTACCGGTTCAAGCCACAAATCGGCAGTGATGTGGTCCTTCACTGCCGGTTTTAGCCCAGCCCCAATCATTTTTCTCATTTTCAAGCTCAAAACCGGCAGTGAAGGTACATCACTACCGGTTGTCATAAATTCGACAGTGATGAGGCCGACAGTGATGTCCAAATCTGGGGCAGTGGTGCCTTCATTGGTTGGGCTTGGCCCATGTATGGAGCGAACGTTCACCAGCTCAAGCATTTATTACCTTATAGTATCTAGGGAGGGGGGGGGGGAGGAATCAATCATGAATATTATAGTCAAACTCCTATCCTAAACTTCCCCCTCTCTTGTAAGGGAACTTTCTTCCATTCTAATAGAAACTCTGAACTATCCTCAAGTTCCGTGCTCTGCTTTACTGATCCTTACTCTAGCTCTTCTCTTCTATCCCTGCTACCCTGCTGTTGTTAACAGTTGGTATAAGAGACAGTGATCCTGTTTGTGTTCAATTCCGTATTCCATCGATTGACTCGCACCTTCCCTGGGCAGTGGCGGATCTAGAATTTTATCATAGAGTATGCTATCCAAATTTTTTCATATACAATTCGGTAAAATGATTTGGTAATTTGGTAACGATCTTTAAATTTGCAACGTAATTTCATATGCGTGCACTAAATAACACGATAATTAAATCTTAAATTCAAAGATTAATGACTTGAAAAAATTCACAAATTACAATATAAATAGTTCAAAGCATACTGATAATTTAAAATATAGACATAAAAGAGAGTAAAAGACTTACAATACTACGTATTTGACTTTTTTGGCTGACCCATTTTAAGGATTATAGTAGTAGCAACGGCCGTTGACACTTCTTTGACCCGATCTCGCTGTGAGGAATGACAGCCGCTGACACTTCTTTGACCCCGATCTCCCTGTGAGGAATGACTTGGTGATGTTAGCAATGAAAATATACATGATTTTTCTAAATAAGAAGAAAATGGAAAAGCAAAGATGGCCAGCAGTCGAGCTCTACACTTTAGTCGTGGAGGCGCAGCCAGCATGAGGAAGCAGACCTGCTTAGGCGAATCTCGACCTGACGATCTCCATCACAGTTAGTCATGACGTCTTGTACTTGCAGCTGGATGCCTGTGCAGATTAGTCAATCTGAGAGTCTCGAACTCTCGATATAGCACACGGCGGCGGCGAGACTCCATGGCAGCATTGCTCCAAATCTCCATCTGATGAATCGATGCGTGCGTGAGGCCTCTCGGTTGCTGAGGGCCAGACATGTCATGTGCCCACAGGCCTCGTGGACCGCGTGGGCTGGAACAAGCCTGGAAGTCTTTGCTAGTGCTAATGAGTCGCAGAGCGTCCGTTCTCATGTACGTTTTTTTTTTGTTTTTTTTATTACAAATAAACATCGGTTGCGCCCACACCTTCCGCCGTCGACGAGCCTTTCCACTTTGCGGTGCTTCCTCCACCCGTACTCCTCTAGTCCAAAGCGGAGGAGCATCATTGGTTCGTCGAGGCGCCAGTGCCGCTCCTAGAATTTCGAGGGCCCTCTGGCGATCTGGTCGTAACGGTCCTCTTGACCAGGTATAAAATCTTATAATATATAGGTGCTAATTTTACCTGTAAAATGAAAGGAAATTCAATAACATATTTTTAATTTAACATGTCTCATAATTATCGATGAACAATGTAGATTAAGCAATATATTTGTAGATATATGATAATTATCGAGGAAAAATATAGATTAAAAAAGCAATATATTCGTTTTCTTTTCTCACCCATGACAAATATTTATTAGGTAACATTCTAAAATTTTAACACCTAAATTAGAAGAAAAATATGACTATACGGGTACAAAGTACCAGAAGTCTGAAATACTATACAAACAATTAATTTGGATTAAAAATAAAAAGGAAAAAATACCTTGGGCCTAAACAACTGATCGGTAATTGCAATTCATAAGAAGCCAAAAATCAAGATGTCATCGTCGTGGAGCCCTATATGGTTGTCGTCCACGTGCGCCGTGTCCGTGTCTCTGATAGTCTAGCTCTTCGTGGCGACGCGGCTCGCCAGCTCCGCGTGTATAAAGCGCACGTCGCGAACTCACGATCAGAGTGTGCTGTGTGCAGCGTGACTCCTCGCCTCCTCTCTACCCGAGGACCGTGGAGAAACGAAATTAGGAAAGAAATGTCGATTGTCTTTTGGACCGCCTTTGACCAGGTTCTATGTCTCTCTTTCATTAGTTTGCTAATACCTAATAGACTATAGGACCTAGGGGTTTATATACCTAGGCTTGGGCCCCTCGCTCCGCTTGGGCCCTCGGCCGTCGCACTGGTGGCCTACCCTTAGGGCGGAGGCTGAGGCGCTCAACACAGACCCAGTTCCCTCCTCCAAGCAGACTCCGTCAGGTGCCCCTGAAAGATCGACCCCATCGCAAAGACAAGCGGGAGTTGGTGTTCGCACAGCAGTCGCCATACCGCTACGAGGAAAAATAGGAGTACCTATGTTAAGTCGAGAACTTAAACTCTGGTGTGTATTCCACCACGAGGAACCTAAACAATTGAGCTATTCAGTTATTCCACAAATAATCTGTTGTGTATTGCATTATTCTAAGAGGGTAAATATATATGTATATATGGGAGGGACTTGGAGTGCAAAAAGTTCGTACTAGTCCTAATTCTATTATCTCTTTAGGATATCTCTAGAGTTTGTATACATCTCCAATTATCTTCATACTGTGAAGAAGGAATATGATAGGGACTTGAGTCTCATTTCCTTGTTCCAAGTGATTTGTACTCCATTTGATGGAGTGTAGTCTCTCGACTGACGACGCGTCTGTTATAAATAGCTATACTCATTAATTTCGCCTTTGAAAGTTAGATGCTTCTTGTATTCTTTTTTCTAAAAAAAAGTAAGGTTCACTTGATATATACTCTATGTAAGATTCACTTGATATATAAGTACGCACAAGAAACCAAATACATATACATTATTGAAAGTAGCACAATCCGTATGAAGCACCACTAACTTTATTACACCAAACATGACAAGGATTTTATTTCTTATTCCTCATTATTGCTTAAGTAACCATGTAGCAGTATAGTGTCATCACACAAACAGTTCCCTTCAGAAAGTTCTATGGTGGCCCTTGCCCGGCACTCCCGGACCCACTCCCCAGCCGCTTCCATATCCATATCCGCCACTGGACCACTTCCTCCACCCCCACCACCTTGGCCACCGGCTTGAGCATATCCACCACCATAAGGACCATATCCACCACTGCCCATACCAGAGCCAAGACGGAACCTTGTCCGACCCTCCATTACATCCTCCGCCGCCACCTCCACCTGGCCACCTCACGAGCATAGCCTCCTCCATAAGGACCATATCCACCAACTGACCATACCCAGAACCTGAGCGGAGCAGGACCAGACCCTCCATATTGTCCTCCACCGCCACCTCCACCTCAGCCGCCTCCCCGAGCATATGCCCCACCATTGGACCCATACCATGGCTTGACCATACCTGTAACACGAACCATAACCGGATCCAGAACCCCCATATTGTCCTCCACCACCACCTCCACCACGACCCGCCTCCTTGAGCATACGCACCACCATTAGATCCATATCCACCAGCTTCACCGAAATGGAACCGTAACCATATCCGGACTCCACCGCCTTGCCCACCACCGCCACCTCCCCTCACCACCACCACCACCGCCACCCCAAGCGCTCACATATCTTGCTACCCTTGTAGCATTTGCCACTCCAATGCCAAGTAGGACAATGAAGCAAAGGGCCGACAACTTGGTTGTAGCCATTGGTAGTAGAAAACTGTGTTGAACTTGAAGGATGGGATGAGTAGGTGGTGAAAATATTTATAGTGCTGGTGACCATGCAAAACGGCAGTGCAGAATAACACACTTGCTTGCTAGCTGGTGTCCATCATCATGGAAAAGAAAACGACATGGTAGGTACAGCGTGACTTTCAGGCAGATGGATGGAACTATTTTCTCAATGGGCCTGACTTTACGTGTGAACAAATACTGAGCGCACGCGGCTGGTCGGCGAGGTCAACAAATTGAGAATGCTACGTATTCTGCGGCCCAGGTATTTGACCATAGATTCCTAGCGTGTTGGTCCCTCAGCGCATAGTGATATGTAGATTAAAAAATGCGGCATGCAGCGGCTTGGACTTCTTATGAAGTGTACATAGTCAACAGTTTTAATTTGAGTCCAATACCAAATGTACAAAAGGAAAATTAGCAATCGGTGTGTGCACCATGCATGCAGCAGGTTACTACATCGATTACTAAGATCAGGAGGCATGCCGCATGCGGTAGATCATCTCCAAGACTCTCTGTATCCTATCTAAATGTTAGAAATAGAGATTTTAAAAACTACCTTCTAACAGCTTCTCTAAATGGTTATCCAAATATAGTCATTTTCTATTTCGATTTTTCCGCTAGCAAAAAATAGAAGACAAGAATGACTCTCTAGAGTGCCTGCGAGATATAGAAAAACTGTTGGCGAGTGAAAAGATATAGAAAATGATTTTTATGCAAATGGCTCTCCAAATGATAATTTAGATAGTGAGATTTAGAAAAACTCTTGTAGATACTCTTATAATCCTAAACCCTACAACAACTCTATCTCGACATGTAAAACATTCACAAATGCAAGCAATCCACATTATCAACATGCCACATCACCCACTAAAATTCACTTGCAATTTCCGCAGCAACGCACGTGCTGTGCTTCTAGTTATATATATTTAAAGTTTACATTTGTTGTGGCCAGCACGCGCTCTGAGGCTGTCCACGTCGTCTGCTTTTCGTGGCCGTTTGATCGGCCGTGCGGACGGTCCAGATTGGGCGAGCCGCGGTCATTTTTCAAAAAAACCCTTCTTTTTTTCCGGAAATCAACCCGCGCTCCAGAGTTCCTCTCAGGATATTTTGCAAAAAACACGTCAGATTATTTTTTGAAACAAGCCCGCAAGGCTCCTCCGGCAGAACCACCGTCCACGTCGCCCGAAATTCCCGCAGCCGTCCGATCTGCCGATCAACGGTCCAAAAAAAACGAAGCGGATTCCGTCGGAAGCAGCTTCTCCTGCTTTATCCGGCTTCTTAGCTGCTTCGTCTCGGCTTCCCTGGCTTCTCATCACAATCCGGCCTGGCAAATATATACTTGGGCTTCTGCTTCTCGTTCCAGGTTCTTCTCCCAGCTTCCTCTCTCCCTCACCCGTCGGTCTCTCCCTCTCCCTCTCAATCTCCACGGCCTTCCTCTCTCCATCACCCGTCGGTCTCTCCCTCTCCCTCTCCCTCTCAAACTCCACGCGGACAGGGGCGGCGACGGCGCGGGCGGGCACGGCGGCTGCGGCCGGCCTCCTCCTCCTGTCCCCCTCCTCCTCTTCCCCTGGCCTCGCGCCGTGCCGGCCGTGCCCGCACCGCCCGCTCACGGAGCGAGGCGCTGCCAGGGCGCGGGCCTGCGGTGCCCGTCCCCGGCCACGGCGCGGCGCAAGCGGGCGAGCCGGTGGCCGCAGGCGTGGCTGCCCCTCGATGATGCCTCCTCCCTCTGCTCTGTGTGTGCTCGACTGCTACAGGAAACCCTAGCTGTCCGTGCTGGAGGTCGCGAGCGCCCAGCGCCGACCCCACCCCTGGCAGTGGTGCCCTGCTTCCGCGTGGAGACGCTCGCCAACGACAGCAGCGGCGGCTGCGTGGACGACGAGGTAAGCTGCAACAATCTTACTTTTTATCAAATATATATGTCCAGTTTTAGTTCAATACAATGAAGTATCCATTTAGAGTTGGCCATTTGGATATGCTTGTGCTTAATTAGCAACAGCCCTTAGTGTTTGTTGGAGTACAGTGTCGTACTCTGCCCTTTATGCTTTTAGTTTGTGGTTTACTGTAAAGGCAACTTAGAAAAGGTGTGTTGCACTCTAAGGTTACGAACAAGGGAAAGGCACGGATAATTTTTCAATCCATATGACCCCATGGTCGACGTTATTTTGTGGTGCAAATGCTAACAATTTGCGTATTTAACGGCTCTCCTTTGACGATTGATAATTGTGTTCCAGTCCCTGTTGCTCGTCTTCAGAGAGGCCGCCTACATAGAGCCTCATATACCGTGCTTCCTAAGGACGCGGATCTACAAGCTATGTTTTTGGGCACGCTTTACCTTTTCGATAAAATGAAAACAGAGATAGCTGTACATGGTGTCCTTATATATGAAATTGGGAAAGTATAAACTACTACTATTTGATTCTAATTTTTTTTCAGATTAGTCTGGAGTCATAGGATGAAACAGTTAATTATTTGTCACCCGCGTTTATGTAATAACAGGAAAATATTTATGTATTCTAACACACACCAATAATAGTATTATGCAATAAAACTATTGATCCCACCTAATTGGGGGTACAATCCTACGGAAACTCATAGTCATATGAAGATTTTCTTTGCACTACTTTCAGGTACATCCCTCAAATCATGTGTCAGGTTGTTGTTCTGAGATACTAAACCAGAGGTGGATGAGGGATTGGAGCCAGGTGTTTAGTTTGCTTCCTTTCTTGGCTTCATTTAGGTTCACATGCATTCTGGTTGTACAGCAATGCCAGGCAAGAAACTTGCCTCCCAGCTAGCAGTAACGTGGATACCATGCTCTTCTGGTTGCACAGAGGTTGCCTACCACCTCTGCATTTCAAGAAGGTAAAGTGTTTTTATCATATCTCCTATCCATACTTTTCGCCTTTTGTTCTGTTGCCACCTTCACAGTTATTTGCCAACATCATTGTGGATTCTAAAAGTATACTTGCCTAGCTTTTAGTGTAAAAAACTAATTAATTACGTGTGGCTGTTTTAGTTCAGTCAATACTTTGGTTTAGATATACCTCAGCTAAACATTTGCACTGTTTTAATTGTTTCCTCATACTTCTGTCACTAACATAGCAAGTTTGTGAATTGTTAGGCAATTGAGACCTTCGTAGTACCACTAAGCTAATATCAGTTGCTGTGCGGTTTGCCTGTATATAGGTTGCAGCAACAGTGCAGCGCCTCATGATATCTTTTGCTTTCTAATAATAGCTTCTAAAAAGCGATCAGCTTAGCAATGTATTTTGGAGTACCACTAAGCTAATATCAGTTGCTGTTGCGTTTGCCTGTATATAAGTGGCAGCAACGATGCAGTGGCTCATGTTGTCTTTTGCTTTCTAATAATAGCTTCTAAAGAACGATCAGCTTAGCGATGTAGGCTTCTACCTTACTGCCTATGGTGCCTTTTAGCAAAGAGATCACCTTATTAACTTAAGCCTGCGTCTTACTGCCTGTATTTTACAGGGGAAAAAGTGCTTCTTTGTACGCCTAATTTGGCTGGGCAACATTAGATGCAACGAAAAATAGATGTTGGAATCAATAAAGATCCATGGTGAGAGTCCTTGCTATATAGGTTCCTGTGGTTTGCAGTGATTGTGCGTTAATAGAGGTTGAGTCATTATCAAGGTACACTTTGTGAAGCTATACTGTTTCCAGTCTTTCACTGCGCTGACGTTTATATTGTCTTTTGTTGTTCAAAGTGTAAACTTTCGTATCTTCTTTACGACACTTCTATTCATAGCAGTGGTATGTCATGCCTCTCTGTTTGCCTCATTCAGTCTAATTGTCTTAGGTAAGCTCCCAGAATTTAGGAGACGACTTCTCCGGCTTGCAGAAAATCTGACAGTTGATGTTGATGCTCAGATTAGTCTTTTTGAGGTAATGCTATTTGATTATTTACGATGGTACACACAGGATTTTGAGAATCAAATCAGCTCTGCCTTTTGTCATTGTTTTTTTTTGGCTATTCAGTATAACATGGAATTTTTCTTTCCCCTAAACAACTTTTCTCTGCGTGTAGCTTGCAGAAGGTGAAGCTTATTGGTTGATCATGGATGCTGTCCAAAAAAAGATTTAGTTCACTCTTTTTTCTTCTTCGACATTTCAGGTACCTATATTCTGGTTTTTGTTCAATGTGTTCCGAATATTAGCTTGACTGCACTTATCTGAAAGCTAAGTTCATTTGCTGGTTCCAAGGCTCAAGACCTATTATGACTGCCAAAAATAAGTTTGGTGTTGCAGCGAAAATGAGCTTGACCCCTTCAGCCCCCACGCAGGTATGCAAATTTTTACAGCAATCATGTTGGATTACTTGATTATTGTTCATAAAGGTTAGACACCATGAAGCGATAGCTGTGATTTATTACTGTTACTTTGAAGTGTTCAGCTATGCCCTGTAACATGGAATTTTTCTTTCCCCTCAGCAATTTTCTGTGTGCATCTTGCAGGAGGAGAAACTTATTGGTTGATCATGGATACTGTCAAAAAAAGAATTAGTTGAGCCCTTACCTCCTTTATAGTTTGTTTTAGTAATTGGTAGTTTTCATTGTGATTCATGAAAACACAGGTGGTAGATCGCCTCACCAGATTCTATTGTAGCACCATCCAAAATTATGTCTCTATTTTTTTGGACTACCACTAAGCTAATATTGATTGCTATATGCCCTGTAACATGGATTTTTTCTTTCCCCTCAGCATGTATGTTTCACACCCAGTCGACGCGCGCAAGGGCGCGCGCAATGTACTAGTTGACGATGCAAGTCGCAAGCTAAACAAGGTAATCTCACTCTCAGCAAACAAAATTTAAATGTGGCCTAGCTATGTCGTTCTTGCTTTCAAGGTTTGCTACTCCGTTCCAAATTATAAGTCCTTTTGTCTTTTCTAGATCATAGTTTCTATTCTACATCAAGATATAGTGTATATCTAGGTGCGTATTAATTAAATCTATGTATCTAGAAAAACCAACGAGGGAGTAATTGTTAACGCCCCTACAATTTGACATTTATCCAAAGCCTTTAAGATCGATCTCCTAAAATTGGTGAAATTTCATTACATGACCACGACAACAAGATCCGAACAAAACTTTAATCGCCCGGTTCAACAAATTGGAGTAATTGTGATTGAGAAAAAGAAAATTAGATGAAATAAACCATAGTGGGCTCATCAGGTTGCATGAGCTATAGATAATGGCTTAATCGCTATAGAGAGAGAATGAGAGATGCTTGTCATTTCTGCCGACAAGCATGCATACCCGAGTTAGATATTTGCAGAATTTCTTGCGTTGTCTTGTGACACATGATCTCGATCGACCAAGTTGGCGTCGTGGGGACTCTGCGACGGCCGATTTAATGCATGTTTGTCCGGCGTGAACTCGAAATCGACATAAGTGAGTGGCTAATCTCGTGCCGGTGTCGCTAACGGCCAACTATGTGAACACAAACTTGGGGCCGGGATAACCGAGGCAACTAGTACTACGCGCCACGACCAAGCTCATCGAAATTTGACGTACGCATTTGACGAGATTACAAGGGCGGTATTTTGACCACAAGCTTTTTAAATGTGTATACGCGCTGCAATGACCCGTCCCAACTCCCAACGCTCGAACGCCTGTCTCGACATACAATTTGGAAGAAGCGACCCAATACCGCCCACACCTTATCTTCCTCCGCTCCACACGCATGTGCCTCGGCTTCATCGATCCGATTCATGTTAGGGAGGAGATGGTGAAGCAACGATGAGGTCGCCGGTGGTAGAGCAATGGGGATAAGGGGTTATAGGGTGAGCCAAGATATATTTAGACATAGAGACGTCATTCAAACCGACAATCAACGATCATGTGTGAGGAGATACGTATACCGACCAAAATATATTGTAGTGGAGCTAGAAATATTTATCCAAAAAACTATAGTGTTTCTCTTTTATACGGATAAAAAACCCTTTGCACTTCATTTGATGAGCCCGAGCGGTGCCCAAGGTCATTAAGCGGTGGTTTAGCCACATCCGAGCAAAAAAGAACACTGAATATTAGATTTCAGTTTAGAGGAGAGCAAACAAGAAAACAATAATTATATTTGACAAACAAATTAGAGAGTGTCTTGTAAGGATGATGAACTAGATGTTTGATAGAAAAATAATAAATAAAAGGGAAAAAGAGATGGAAAAATAATAAAAAGCCCAATTCTAATTATGTAAGATGTTATTAGAGAAGAAATTTTGAATACAAATAACATTATTAACTAGGTAATAGGAACATTAAATAGCTAATTAAGGGGTGTATTAATAGGGGCCATGAAATGGTGGGGTGCCTTGCCCCTCTCAGTGCCTGACCTCTCGCCACCGGGGTTAGAGGGCTTTGAGAAAGTCTCTAATGGCCTACAATCTTAGAAGGCGGATGGAGTCTCAGACCTGTGGTCGGCCCGTGGTGGTGGCGGTTGAAGGGGTGGCGAGGCGCGAGCAGATGGGGTGTCATGGAATGGATGGTGGAGACAACCAAAAGTGAAATCAATGGCGAGGACGATTGGGCGAGCTTTCCTCTTCGATTGGGGTTAGAGGAGGGTGAGCTAGAGCGGTAAGGTGGGCGGTGGCGCGGATGCGGATGGCGGCAGAGGCGGGTGTTGCGGTGGCGGCTGGTAGGTGTGGTAGTAAAAAGAAGTAAAATGAGAAAGAGAAATCCTTGTGTTGATACTTATTACAGGCATCCACGTGATGATTAAGGACGCCCGTATATGACAAATTGATCATATTCCATAAATCATCAAGGGGTGAACTTTGTCACATATAGATGCCCCGCACATGTATGCCTAGATTATTTTTATTTTCTCGCACACAAATCCAAGCAATTGTGTATTAGAGCATCTCCAACAAAGGAGTTTAAACACAACCCTACTCTACTTTTTAGGGTGAATAAAAGAAACTTAGTCCAACAGGTCTCAACTCGAGTGCAGACTTTATGGAGGCCCTCAAATCTCCCACCTCAACCTGTGTATGTATATGAAGCTCTCTACTCTATATTTTTTACTAGCAACTCCATCATCGGCACCATTATTTTTTTCTTGCACCCCCTTGCCTCCTCCCTCCCACCACATTGCCGCCTATAGCCCTCCATCTCCGCCTCCTTATGAAACCTTTGGCACCCAACCAAATACACAACCTAGTAGTGCTAAGGCATTCAAGAGGGCAAAAAACTGCACTTATCTGGAGGACATTCAGTTGTACATCTCATGAATGAGCGTTAGCACATATTTTATCACTCCCAATGAGCAGCCAAGAAAGGTTTAATGGAAAAGGATTGCTAATCACTTTCATGCCCACAAAGATGATCTTGTCGAGCATTTTTGTGCGTTTCATGGCACTAGTTGTTATGATCCATTGTAGTTTTATCATAATTTATTGCTATGTGGTGTGATAGAAAATTTCTATAAGCCTATATGAATTTTATGTTTGAACAAATTTAAATTTAAATTGTCTTATTTGAAACCATGAAACTAAATACGGTCTATTTATATGGTTTACAACTATTTAAGTTTAAATTATAGTGGTGGCATATGAAAAATACACATGGAGATTATATTAAAATCTTACGGAAAAATGGTATGGAGAAAAGAGCACGCCCACAACTTTTGTATATATAAAGATTGATTGGGGATGCTTTTGTGTTTGATTGGTCCTGGAAGAAACCTTTGCTAGAGCCTTAACTGTTTCACTTTTGGCAGCTTGACCCTTCGCATGGCCTTGATCTCTTGACAGCTTCACTTCATGGATTTGCCTTCATCGAAGTGGTCGATATAGTGGAAGTAAGCGTAGTAGGCATCGCGAACAATCATGTTGCAACGCCTTCAAATCTTCACTCAAGAGCACTAGGCAATTAATGCTTTCAACTTCGAGCAGATTCCCTCTCCAATGTGCCCCCCAGCCCTGGCCCTCTTGTCTGATGCATATGAGAGAATAACCCTCATGTGTGGTTGATCTAGACAAAGTAGATGTGGATGTTGTCTCATGAATGGTTGCTAGTTGGAGAGCTTCTGAAAGAGCTCTAATGCAAAGTTCTTGATTCTTGTCTAAGTGAATCTAAGGTATGATCTTGGTGGAGATTCATGAAATGGTTCATGGTTAAAATATTGTATTATTGTTTACAAGTTTATATGGTCCATGTTATGTGAGTCTTCTAATTCTATGTCTTATCTTAGATCCCACTTGTCTAATCTTAGATCCCACGCTTAAATTAGATTAGTTAGCATGTTTTTATGATCGTGGTGATTAGAAGTTCGTAGGTTATTGTCGCGGGGTCGGAACCGCGGCAAGTATGTTGTTCGAGTTAGTGTCAGAGTACGGGTCTTCGGTGGCTCGGGTGGACTAAAGAACACAAGAATCACAGAAAGGATGCAACAGTTTATCCTGGTTCGAGCCAATGGGTGTCCTACGTCCAGCAGCTGATGATCCTTATACTTAAAAGCACCCAAAATCGGAGGGTTACAACAGGGTTGTAGAGAGATTTTGCTAGGGGTTAGCTCAGTGCTTATCCTAAGGTTGCCTCGCCGCTGGTGGAGCCTTTCCATCGTCGGAGAGGAGGAAGACGACGGGATGCGGTGGAGGAGGTCTCGGTGCCCGTCTATGGGTTGCATGGCTCTCAGTGCTGAGTAGAGGCCAAGGAATGGAATGGAATGATCTCAGTTTTGGTGATCGTCCCCCCTCCTAGGTCCGACCTTATCCCTTATATAATGAGATAGGTCGGTTACATGGCGGTTTGGGGAACTAGTCTATGGTCTACATGCGCTGGAGTCCAGGAAGACCTTGCAGTGATGCGCTATGGATCATGGAGGTGTCATGTAGCCAAAGAAGCCTTAGGCGTCGTCCGGCTGCTCTGTTCTGACACTCTGCGTGTCAGGCTATATCAGCTTGGATCGGCCTCCCCCAGGTGGACCTTCTGGAGTCTTCTTGGCGGTGAAGGAGGTCGGCTCCAAGGGCTGACACGCGGGCTCGGGAGCCCCCGAGCCTCTAGAGGCTACTAGAAAGCTTTGTCTTCTTGTGTCATGCCCCGTGCGTGACCTTGTCAGGAAAGTGGCCAGCAATGCCGTGCCCAAGGGGCAACACCGAGGAGCCCCCGAGCCTCGGTAGCTCAGGGCTTATCTTCTTGTGCCCGGGCCTTGGCTGGCGTCGTTTGTCGGGCAGGAGCCAAGGGTCGGACCGGAGTGTTAGCGTAGATCAGGAATCTAGGGGCTCGAGCAAGCCCTCGAGCACCAGGAGGAGGTCATGGAGGAGTCAAGCTCGGCTGGGTTTCTTCTCAGAGGGTGCGCGCGAGCGTACCCGATGGGTATAGCCCCTAAGCCTCAGAGCGATGCTGGAGGGGTCGGTCGGGAGGTCTTCTCTGTTCGGGAACCATTGGACCCGAGGCTTAACATACGCATATGTTGGCGTGATGGCGACTGTTGGTATATTTAACGCACACAGATAAATCTGTAAGCGCATGGAT